TTGAAAGCTAAAAATTTCGCCATATATAGTAAAGGTGTAATTATTTATGTCGCAAAAAAATAAAATTTCGGCATGTTGTACTTGATGAAAGAATTAAAAAAGTATCAGTGACTAGGTCCAGGAGAAATGAGTGACATTTTATTTTAATTTTGTACATACACCCACCATGTAGCAGTTATTTGTATTTGGTACATTTATTTTTATGCTTTGCATATGTATGAAAAATATTTTTTAAAAAACTGTTTTTATTATCGTACTTATACATAAATTCAATCTTATTCATAAAATAAGTTGTTAAGTATATTCAATTGCAGATTAATGAGTCATCAGTTGCGAATTCTAAACAGGTAAATAGTCCCAAGATGCGAAATTTTAACACAGGGTCCCCAGTTGAAAAATTCCGAGTTGCAATGATATCTTCTCAAAATCCTGATTATAGAAACTATTCTTTAGACGCCGAATGTTCTTCTAAATTAAAACCTGCATTATAATTTATCTAACAAAAATAAATCAATAAAAAGAAAAAGGAAAACACTGATACTTCAAATAAATATTTCTTTCATGTATGTATTTGTTTATTTTCCTTTATAGCTCTTTCCTTAACTATCCCATAATAATATCCTTTTTAAAATATCCTTTAATATTTATGAAATTTCTGTAAACAACAATTAGTTTTCTTATAATTCGACAGTACTTTTAAGTTCCCGCCTATACAAACTCTACGCATGACGTCATGCGCGTGGTCGTCCTATTTTTGACACGGTTGATATCCTACCTTCTATTTTTTATACCATGATTAATGTATGATCTAAAATTAAAATAAATATGCAATATGTGTTAACTTTTCTACAACGCCGCTAGAAGAACGGTATAGAATAAGCGATGTTATTGATTAGACAGAGGTAAAACAGTGCGTACCAGCTCATAGTGGTATCCATCCATCTGTCCAATCACGGCAGGCAAGCAGCCGATTCAAATGCCTCTCTTTATTTTTCTCACGTACAAATATAATAATTAAGCGTCTCATCTTCATTTGGAAGGATCCATGGGTTAACATACTGTATAATGACAATGACTAACAAATATATAAATACTAATAATCCTAGCAAGGCGACGTTGCATTGCAAGGTTGCTTCAGAATAAGATTATATTTTTAAGAAAAACACATCTTCAGTACTCTAAAAATGTCTCTAACGTAATCTTGCAGAGTTAATGTCATTTCCTAGGTTTTTGCTGTTTTATCAGAAATAGATAATACTTCAAATTGTTTACAATCATCAAGAAAAATGTCTATACACAAAAAATTTAAAATTTCACGGAATCATGTCATTAATGTTAGAAATGTCAACAGTAGCATAAGAAAGACATCGGGTGGTTATAGAATATTTTTCAAAATATTTTAACGCTACCATTGACTTAAATAATTTTAATAACAGGGTTAGATACCTACTGAGTTGGAAAATAACCATCCTGTTCCAAATTGGTGTATTTAATATTAAATTAAAAAGTAAGTACATATTAAAAAATATTGCCGTAAACACTCGTTTGTTGAAAAAAATTAAATACGCACATGGGCAAAATTAACGCACCACAATTTTTATTTTAGGTACTGTCTGTACTGGCTTCTTTCAAATTTATTCAACAATACTCGTACTTCACGTGACAAAATTTATGTCATCAGTTGGCTAAATTAAAACTTAATTTTCAGTAGTGATCCTAACCAATGTCTTGGACCTATTTGACAGAACTGATAATGAAGTTGTCATAAAAGAGAACGGCCATTTTCATTAAAGGACCCCGTAATAATCTTATGGAAATTGGGTTTCTGTCAAATTGTCTGAATTTTTGGTATGTTGTAGATTTTGTCATCCTGAACCAAAGTCTCCATGGGCACAAAGTGCCAAAATGAATATTTTGGCATCTACGGAGCTGCCAAAGCTCCCCTGACCCGTTGCAAAACTATTCATTTTCAATACTATTTACAGATGTCAAAAGCATATTTTAATTATTCTAATATATAGGGTAATGTTTTTTAGGTCACTGGATTCAATCCTCATGTCAGATTGGACAAATTGACCGTTGACAGCTGTCAATTCACGGTCAACGAGGAATATAAAAGTAAATATCCTCTTTTCACATTGAGAGTTTGGGTTTTTGAGGTCGCTGAATTCAATTCTCATGTCAGATTGGACAAATTGTCAGTTGACAGCGAAAAGAGGATATTGACTTTTATATTCCTCGTTCACCGTGAATTAATTAACAGCTGTCAATGGTCAATTTGTCCAATCTGCCATGAGAATTGAATTCAGCGGCCTCAAAAACCCAAACTCTTAATGTGAAAAGAGGATATTTACTTTTATATTCTTCGTTGACAGTGAATTGACAGCTGGTCAACGGTCAATTTATCCAATCTGACATGAGGATTGAATCCAGTGACCTCAAAAACATTACCCTATATATTAGAATAATTAAAATATGCTTTTGACATCTATAAATAGTATTGAAAATGAATAGTTTTGCAACAGGTCAGGGGAGCTTTGGCAGCTCCGCAGCTGCCAAAATATTCATTTTGGCACTTTGTGTCCATGGAGACTTTTGTTCAGGATGACAAAATCTACAACATATCAAAAATTCAGACAATTTGACAGAAACCCAATTTCCTTAAGATTATTGCGGGGTCCTTTCTTGTTTTACTAGAGCACGTGGGCTACAGGTATTGTTGAAGAATCGTTATGTTGCACTATAGTCTGCTCGGATAGAGAAGATACCATTACCTCACACTTCGAGCCTCGACATTACCTTTTTAAACTAAATTGATGTACAACCAGTGGTATGTGTTGTACATTCAGTAAATTTTTCAAGGTTAATACCAATTTAGGTTTGCTATCATAGGTTAAATACAAAATTTACTATAAAATGTAAATAAAATATTATTAATGTGACGCAATGGTATCTTTTCTATTCCCTTGGGCCCTACGAGTGTACCAGTGGAAAATGCTATTACTTTCGCATACGTGAATTCACATTGTTTTTATTCTAGGATCACAAGGTAAATTCATCAATAAAATGTAAATCTGGTTTCCAGATTTGGTATTGGTGTTGAATAATATTTATTTTGCCGATGACGTGTTGTCAACATTAAAAACATTACGACTTAATTTACAAACCCTTTCATAGAATGATAAATATATTAGATGCAACAAATATTTCAATACCTAAAATAATTATGTTTTTCATTAGTTTAATAAAATTTTAAAAATACAATAAATAAGATGAATAAAACTTTTATTTTTAAATATAAACGACGAATACCAATTTTCTTACAATAATTTTTTTTCTGAACCGTTATTAAAATAGTGGATAAAAAAAATGAATATCAGGAAATTTAATGGATTGCCCATGAGGTAGAAGGTAGGGAGGCGCTTTTACACGGGGTCTAAGACGGTTTCACTTCCGCCATATTGTGTTTACGTATCCGTCAAACACAAATCGTATTTTCAATCGTTTTTTTTTTGTTGTTTGCAAATTAAAATATTTTACAAATTAAAAGTTAAACAATGGTCTCTTGTGCTCAACGTAGTTGTAGCAGGAAAACAGATATAAAGGGTCGGTCTTTTTACCTTCAGATAATATTCCAGTTAACTAACCGACGGATATTTTATCCGAGAGTCACTATCTGATAGATAATTAGGTTACTGTCTTTTCAAGAGAAATATTTTGTTGGGTAGTTATCTGATACTTTTTCGCAATCTGTGGTTATGTAACTACCTTCATATCATAGTATTTGAAAGAAGTTTTTGTATTTTTCTGAATACATTTGTTATTTAAAACCCCATAAGTCAAAAGACAAAAAAGACAATAAGCAAAAGGATGCTAGAAACACAAAGCAGTACTGCAAAATAAAAAACTGATTTTGGGGTGTGTTGTAATTAACATAACATTGTTCATTTGTCTAAATTGAATTTTTCAAAGGTGTACCTAGTTTTTTTATTGTGAATATGTGTATTATTCGTGCGAATGGCGTTAGTTTACACTATTTGCCATAATAATATACTATTTTATTATTTTATATATATGAAGGCTGTTTTTCTGTATTATATCGCTTATTTTTCCAATTATTTTTTCGGGAATAAATATACAATTATACGAAACAAACAAATCACTATTTACAAAAATACATCTTCAATAACGTCCATAAAAACAAATAAAATAATATGTTGACCCATATGACATATTATTATGTTATATACATATCCATCAGTTAACTACTTTAGCAGGAAGTTCAGAGTTAAGATAAGTTATCTTTCAGATAAGATCAATTTATTTGCTAGTTAGTTTTATCCAAAAGTGAAAAGATGACACTTTATCTGAAGGTGAAAAGACCGACCCTAAAGAATAAATTATCTAAAATATCATTCCATAACTAAGTAAACGACACAGTAAATAATGTGCATTGCGGTATTTTGGAAATTGAGATATTAAATATTGTGTTTGGAATGTATTTATATTTCTCACCTGTCAGCTGTCACTTTTTTATGACGTTTTTAAAATTTCTTTTTGCTTTTTTGATGGTTTATTATGAACGAATGATTTTTTTGTTATTTTTCCTGACACTTTATCTGAAGGTGAAAAGACCGACCCTAAAGAATAAATTATCTAAAATATCATTCCATAACTAAGTAAACGACACAGTAAATAATGTGCATTGCGGTATTTTGGAAATTGAGATATTAAATATTGTGTTTGGAATGTTGAACAATCTCTTTGATATCTTAAATTTAAGAAATATACTCCAGCTTTATAATAAAAAGCCCATGTCTTTAAAAAAGTATAAAGGAATCGATAATTTTTTAAAAAACAGGTATAAATATATTAGTGGCCCGAAGGTAGGTGGGGCATTTGTCTTTTAAACACCGACCGACATACTGGATTTTTTTAGGTTTAAAAGTATCTATATACAGTTTTATACTTTTATTCAAGAGATTAATTTATTCCAATAGATTACAGTTTTCTCAATGTGTAAAATGTCAAAAGATCGCATAAAGTTGTTCTTTGGCTGTATTCCTCACATGAAGGCCACAATAATAACCCGCCAGGAAATTTCAGGTAGCTGACAAAAAATATTAGTAGATGTCGAAGGACAAAAAAGTTTTCGTGGAAATTGTATTCCTTTAGAATAGCTCCGGATTTTAAAATGATCTTTAAGAGACTAAAGGGCTCTTGGCTATCAGAAACTTAGATAGCAGGCTAAACAATATTAAGCATATTTACCAAACCTGACGCGAGGTGAGAATTTTTTTAAGAATATTTTGTTGTTTCCTTACAAATTATGCAAATTTCCAAAAGCAAGAACAAAATGTTCTTAAAAAATTCTCATTTCTTGTAGTATTACCCTTGACAAATAGTCGACTCATAGGTCAAATGACAGGCGCGGAAAAACTAATTTAAATCTCGGATTAAGTTCTTTTACTAAATTTGTTTTTTAATAATTTCAAATGTATTTGTGATATTTATTAATTCTAACCAATAATGGGTTAAAGTATGTTATATGGTATTGGAATAAACGTATTTAGCCTTTTATTGACAGTTTAACCTCACTATCAGTTCATACAGCAATTAATTAATTCGATGTCGTTAATTTATTTGAGTTGTTTCCAAAAAATTCTCGAAATGAACAGGAAGAGAATTATAATCATTTTGAGAATGCTAGACAAGTGCTAGACCAATTTATTGTCGGTCACTATTTTGTGGTCAGGACAAGTGTGAAGTTTCACTTGACAGCTATTAAATGTGCTTTGGATAATGAAAATCGTTATATTACATACGCGACTTTGCCCAGAAAGAATACAAGATTAAGAAGTTCGAAAAAATATTTTTGAAGCTGAGGATGAGTAATTAAAAGGTGTTCATTTATGTATTGTAAATAGCAACTCTTGCGTGACCAAGTTTATGCTTTTATTTATTAAATCTGTGATGCGTTATTTTTGCCCAGGTGTATATTATCTTGGACCACTATGCCGGATAAATGTGAAACAATCGATCATTAAAAATTGACAATCATATAAATTCACGCTTATTTAAAAGGTAATTCTCTTAAGTTTAAATTTTTTACAATAAATATAAAGGCAATCTGGCCTCGTCTTATCACAATCGCTTAACAAAGTTTCAATATGAACTATCAATAAGTATAAGTTAACTTAAAAAGTTTTTTGTTGTTGGTTTTCGGTTTGTTTAATCGTCGTGCGCGATGTTGGTGAAGCTCTTGTAGTGGTAAAAGAAAAATATCAGAAATATTGCGAAGGCTGTAGGAAATGTGATTCTGGCGATGACGTCTATGGTCTTTGCTACTCTGATCGGATGCGGAGGTTCTTTTTTTCTCACCTGCAAAAAAGATACCTACTAAAGGTTAGATTATTTGAAAAAGAACACGCACTTTGTATCAGTATAAAACGCTACGAAAATTATGTCAATTTGTTTGTTGTTCGGTCATCCACTCCACTCCTATGGAATCTGATAGTGGATGAACATCTACAGTTTGTAGTCTCTAAAAAGAACATATTATATAATCATGTTATACGCGTAGGGTTGCCAGAAGATACTTTAAAACAGATACAAATAATTTTTTAATTTTTGCATTCTTTTTCATTTTGATACTTTTTAATTTTGAATATATTATTAAAAACTATTAATTTTGCATAATTACAGCCGAAGGGGTAAACCACTCCTAAAATACAGGTACATTTTTACTCTAAATCACCGAAATCACTACAAATTTTTTCGAAATTTCCGAAGTCATCACGAAAATCATGATCGAAATCATCACCGAAAATACTTCGAAATCAATTTGTTGCAGCAGCTTGTGGATCAAAACAAAAGGACCGAGTCAAAAAAGAGGTCGACGAAATATCAAGTGAAGAGCTTTAAAAAAGGTCCTTTGAATATTGAAGAAGACAATTTATAGTGAAATTACAGGGAAATCATAGGAAATTGTATACAATAATTTCTTCTAAATCAGCGTAATCGAATAAAACTAAGGAAAATTTCGGTGAAAGCCACCGGTATCGTGTAAAATTATACCAATTTTAGGTGATTTCTGAAAAACGGGATGTTTTGACCTAAGTGGTGTACCCCTCAACTACAGCATATTGGATAAGTAAATATACCTCAACATTAAGATTTTTTTAAAACTATAGATCAAGAACATATTTATATTTTTACTTGGTATGTCAAAATATAATAGTTATAGATTTCGTACCAGCTATTAATAACAATGTTAAAAAAATTTTCTCGGAAACAGACAGAGTTGGTAGAGAAAAATTCAATCCATAGGTTTTTCGATTGACTATAGCAATAATGATTCAGAAATTCCTAGTTTACCTTATTTTTCTCCTCAAGAAGTTAAGGATGCTTTTGCGGAGGATTTGATGTCAGTAATGCCCGTAAACCTAAAATTGAGTTTGGCTGATTGCTTAGTTAATACATGCCCAACATTCTGTTGTGGCAAGTCAACGTCCTTTAAACGTATGTACGTTACTCCAAGTAGTGACCTTTCGTTGTAGGTCGGGTATTGGTGGGTCGACTTTTTGTCACAATCGGTAGCAGAAGGCCATCGTCACTTTACCAGCAATAAGTAGTGAGAGACCGGCAAATGGCCAGCAGTTTCCCATAATATAAATGTTTACTTCCCCTGAATGGGCTTTCCTAAGACTCGTTGCTCTGAGAGGCATGCAATAATATTAATGTTAACTTCCTTTCAAAGGCCGTGTATAAGGCTCTCATAAATTTTAAACGGGTCATAACAATTTTACAGTTGCATGTGGTAAACAGTTAAAAAGTTATCAACGGCCCATCTAAAAATTAAAGATAGAGGGCAGTTAATTACAAATTTCAGAAGGGCCATAATGATTTGGCCGTTACAAGTTACTTTGCCATCACATTCGTTAAAGGACCAACAATTTTCAACAACTTCAATGATTGTTGGGTACATATCTGAAGTTGCAACATTTCCATCTAAAATTTGGACTGCTTTTACGTCTTCTACTTTCAGAAATACCAATAATTGTAAAGCATTCCACTCCGTATTTAAACAGTATTGTGTAACGCCTCATCCAAATGTTCACAAATCTCTAGAATGTTTGATTGAGATGAAAACATACATATGTCAAAATTAACAGTTCTCTAAGGTTAGAAAAACACTTTACTCGAAAACAAGTAATAGAACAATTTCCTGTATTTAGAAAAAGAGATTTGTAGATTATATTTTCTAAAATGTGTTTCTTTTAGTTACTTAATCACTAGGGATCAAATGTTTATTGTACATTTTAAAATAAATTTTACTAAATTCTATGTGTGTTAATAAATCCGCATTAATTTTACATTATACCAACATTTTTAAATATAGGGATTATAGTTAAAATGTTAGTTGTATGTATTAAACATTAAATTTGCATTATTATAACGACATATTAATAACTGAAAAAATAAATAGATTATTCTTTATTAATCTAATTAAGCACTACCTGCTACTAAAATGCTTAGACTGCAATTCGGAATTTTTTTTGTTACCTTTACCGAAGTTGACCTTTAATTTCGACTGCAGTTAGTATGTAACCTTATACCCCAAGGTTTGAAATATATTAGCTCTAAAGGCGAGTTCTCACGGTGGATTTTAATTGACTGATTTTAGTTGATCAACAAAAGTTTGACCCAGACAAACTTTTAGTAAGATTGTTTGATGAATCATTGTATCTTGTTCTTTATGCAATCCTGAACTTTAGAGAGCAGTTCCTTGAATTTATTTATAAACATTTGTAAATGATTTCTATACTTTAGCTCCTTTAGCTGTTGCTTCCAATCTATGGCTTCTCAGAATCCACGAAAAACGACCTTTCTTACGACTTTTGCTCATATCAACAGTTCTTCTTTTAATAAAAGTAAGACAATCTGTAGACATTCACGATTCACGCACAACTGCATTCGACACCATTTTACATTAAAACTGATAATTCAGTTCATTTTGAAATATGTGAACAACAATTGATTCAAGTTGTTGAGCAACTAAAATCGGTCAACTAAACTTGACCCATGAGAACGCGCCTTTAGAGTCCTAAAACCAACCCAGTATTGCTAGTAATCTTTCCTATTGTTCTTACTGCTAATCTATTTATCTTACTGCCTTATCCTTTTCTGCAAAATTCTTTTTAAGGTCTATAAAGTTTCCGATAGTTGTGTCATCATGATTTCTGACTATTTAGAGTTCCTTGCTATGTTAAAATTTTGTTTGGATATTTAGTTTTTCCAATCTGGCAACCCTATAGTTATTCCTACAACGTGGAAAATAAAAGGGAGAAGGGTTGGGGGTACTAAAAAAAAACACAGATAAAAGGAAAGGTCAAAATACATTTTTTGTTAAAATTATGAATATGGCAAACATTACATATTTTTATACAGAAACAAAAAAATATAGATTACACAATATTAACAAATGTTAACTGGAGTTAAATAATAATAAATATCTGTTACAGAAGTGTTGGGAAACAGTTTCAGCGCTCCATACGTGTGATACTAATATCGGGCTATCGGCATGGTTTTATGGCAAACAGATATATACTGTGTCAAATTATTTACCTTTCCTCACGCAATTTTTACATGAAGGTCTCGATCACTGTGGACAAGTTGATGGTATCTCAACAGATTTTGAATGGGCTTTAGATAGCAAACTTTATTATTTACAAAGTACTTTAGCACCAATATTTTGCAATTCAGATGTCACAGGAGGTCGGAGAAATAAATTATTATAATTTAAAATTTATACTCCGTGACGTGTACCAAAAAATACAATAAAAATTGAAGGTTTGTTTATATATTTTAAAATAAAATTAAAATAAATTAAAAATAAGTTTAGATTAGATTAGATTTAATTAGCACTATGAGCCATGTGGCTTCCACCACATCGACCTTTTCAGATCTATTGTGGATATCCTTTAATCGTTGTTTAGAATACCTTGTCTAAGTTCGGTCTTTTGTAGCTTCAAGTTTAAGATTTTAAACCTTTCCTTCGTATTTTTTTAAATAAATTTTATTCTTATGTATAAATAAGTGTATGTAAACAACTTATTTCAAATATACGCTTACTGGTATTAAATGGGTCGATAATTAATGGATCAAACGACTTACCTGATGGAAGTTCGATCCTAATTATGCGAGCATCCTTGTTAGTGGAAACCATGTAGTTGTTTAGAGGATGTTCTATTCAAAATAAAACTAGATTTTTGCTTTCTACGTAAAAGTATACAATAGAATATGCAAAAAAAAATATTACTATAAATTTCCCACAAAATTAACAATAATAATTAATAATAATACTAATGAATTAATCATTAACAAACGTAACAAAAAATAATATTGAATTTTAACAATCCAGTTTTATAATTTTTTAATACTTTTGCTAACGTTGGTTTTACGTCTTAATTGTAAAACTTGTCAAACGCCACTGATCTCTTTGTCCTACAATTTTTCTAATGGTTTTGATATTGAAGCAGATTATGAGGACGGTCGAGGTACATACGTATGTGTACTAAGTGCTTGGAGCTACCCACCCAATAGTTTGGGGGAGATACTGGATGGACGGGAGCATTAGTGGTTAGAATAAAAGGTCCTGAAGACCTGTGAGACTTTGTTTTTTTTTTCCATAAAATAAAAATGTTTTTGCTAAGCCTAAATTGAGGTAATTCGTGGGGGAATGAAAATACTAATAAAGGCTGGGCTCGTTGTGGAGTTAAAGTTTTAGCATTTCGTCAATGAAAATTTATATATTGTTAACTTCCACCTTAACATTTTCAACTTTATTTTTGAGAATGTCTATACCCGTTGGCCTGCAAGCATAACAAGTTTGGCTCTTAGCTGATGTTAAGTTTTTCAAGTGAAAGAAAATAATGAAATATTTTAAAACTGTGCTTTGATCTCAAGTTTGAATACATTTTGGCAAAATAGGATGACCCTTTTAGAAATTTGCTAATATACATTTTCTTTTATTATTCAGGATTTCTGTAGTGAAAGTTAGGGACTATTCATAGTGGGAGCTAGGGCAGAACTCTGGTTATAAGGAATTCTAAATGAAGGTTTGATGCAGTAAATAACTAGGTTTAATGTTGACATGTACCGTACAAAGCATTTATTTCTTTATTGATTTTTTTTTATAACATGGGATGGTTGAGTTTCTCATTTTGGTACAATCATCATGCCTTCTGCTTGGCCTTTCTAATTTTAGTACTTATACAAGAAATGCATCAGCTACGTAACAATCGAGTTCTCGCACACTTTAGATAAAAAACACTTTTTTTATGTATGATGAGTCATAGAGATTGTAAAGAATCAACCGTTGTATTGCAATGTTT